CCAGCGATGCCATGCGCTGGTCTCCTCTGCATTGTTTTCTGAACTTAAGAAACATCATGTTAAAAGAGAGGAGTACATGGGATTCTTGAGAGCATGAAGACTCTGTTTAAATTAGCTCTTCGTCCTGTTGGTACATGCAGATCAGGCACGGGAAGCACGGCCGTCACCTGACCACACATCATTTGCTTTTGCACCCTGCAAGTCTAGCATTCGTTGGCCGAGTCATCGTTGCAGAGATCATTTTAATATAATGCCAGTAAACACTTCTCTTATTTCTTTTTTATTTTTATTTGGAGGTTTTATTCCATAGGATATGGTACTCACCAGAGACAGAGAGAAAAAATGAAAAATCATCCCCCCCATGGGGGAGGACCACGCTGTAATCCCTTCTCCTCCATTCTCCTCTCGAGATTGTGGGCATGCACGCACACGCACCCAGAATGATTTTTCAAGCTGCCGAGTCCAGGACTCGAACTGTGCAGTCAGCCATGTAGGCCCAGCTGCCTTAACCTCCACGCCACCTGCTGGCCCTCCCATCTCATTTTGAGGACATCTTCTTTTGTTTGTTTGTTTCCCACGAACATGGAGTTTATTTATTTATTTATTCTTTTGGAGAGGTTTTTGCTATAGGGCGCGTGCGCTCGCCAGAAAGACAGAGAGAGACAGAGAGACAGAAAGCGAGACATCACCCCCCAGGGGGGATGGCCACGCCACAATCCCTTCTCCTCCATTCTCCTCTCGGGATCTTGGGCATGCACGCACACGCGCCCGGCGTGAGTTTAAGCCACCAGGTCTGGGACTTGAACCACAGTCGAGTATGTGGCTACGTGGGAGTCTAGCAATGTAACCACTACACCGTCTGCAGGTTCCCACCAAGTTTATTTCTTGAACTTTGTTATATTTGTAATTGGCAAATAGCAACTGCGTTGTTTGTGGGCTACATTGTGATGTTTTGGCATAGGCGCGCTTGACGGGATGAGCACGTTGAGCTAATTCCTACAGTATCCCTTTACTTTCTCAATGATCAGACTATTTAATAGCTACTCTTTTAGTAGTTTTGAGCGATACAATGCATTATTATTTATACATATATATATTTCTTTTTTAAAAAAGTATTGGGGCCAGCAGGCGGCATGATGGTTGGGGCACTGGATTTGCACACAGCTGACCATGGTGTGAGTCAAACACAGAGATACACACACATGTGCACACAGACGTCCATGTAGACATAGACACGTGCACACAGACACAGAAACAAGCACATCCACGGATCTATGTGCACACACAGCACGGACACACATAGCTACACACGTAAGCATGGGTAAAGACACAAGCACACATGCAGACATGCACGCACACATGCCCACACAGCGACACGGGCGTCCACTCAGTCACACACATGTGCACATACAAGCACATAGACAGAGTGACATGCGTGTGCACCGAGAGACAAACAGATGTGGATGCATGCACATACAGAGAGACAGAGACACGTGCATGTCCCCACACATGGATACACAGATATGGACATGCACACACACACACACACACACACACGCAGTCGCACACAGGGAGTGCCCTGTTCCAAGAAAAGGAAGGGCGGTGTGGAGGAGGGCTGCCAAGACTCTGCTTTTACGATGGGTGGATCTTTAGTTTTACAACCTGCCTTTGTTGCTAGCTCAGCGTGGTTTCTGTCCGCCCGTGGAGTCGAGTTCCCCGAACACCTTTTACAGTCTCTGCCTGCCTGCCAGCTCTTACACCTCGCTAACCCACATCTCGGCTCCTTCCGGGGTTGCCAGGGTGCGCTGACGCCCAGGCAGACTGCAATCGCCAAGGCGTAACTTTCTGCAGCACTCGTTCCTGCGACGTGGGGACCTTAACACTGATTCCTCGTGGAGTGGGAGTTCAGGGGTCCGTGTGTCTCCTTCTATCTGGGGTTTTATTTCTGCCATCCGATGCATGCACTCGCCAGAGAGAGACAGAGAGAGGGATAGTGAGAGAGCGTCCCCCAGGAGGGATGGCCACTCCACAGTCCTTCCTCCTCCGTTCTCCTCTTCGAATTGTGGGCACGCACACCACAGTCCTTCCTCCTCCGTTCTCCTCTTCGGATTGTGGGCATGTACGCACGCACACACGCCAGGCGTGGTTTTCAAGCCCCCGAGTCCTGGACTTGAACCGGGCAGTCATCCGTGTGGGATCCGGCTGCCTCAGCCTCCACATCCCCAGCTGGTCTTGAACAATTCATTTCAAAATAAATATGAAAATTAAAGGTCCTCCACTCACACACATTATTTTTCCCCACAAGGCAGAGACATGGAGAGAGACAGACAGACAGACAGACATCCCCAAGAATCTTTTCTTTTCAATCTTGTCAAAAATCACACATACTCATGAGACAGAGAGACAGAGAGACAGACAGAGCGAGGGAGAGGGAAGGAGAAGGAGAAAGCTCCTTGATGAGGGATGATCACACAGCAATCTCTTCTCCTCTACTTCTCTACGTGGGATTTTGGACATGCAAGCACACGGACCTGGAACATTTCTCAAGCCACTGGGTCCAGGATTCAAACTGCATAGTCGGCCACGTGAGATCCAGCTCGTTAACCACCAGGCTACGGGCTAGATCCCTCCAGGGTCTTTGCACCACAATCCACTCCCAGTCTCAGCTAGCCAGGACCTTGGGTGTACATGGAGCCACCTCGGGACTTGAACCTATGACCTTCACATATGGCCTCAGCATTGTGAAACATAAGACCATCGCTACACACCATCATGGGCTCCAGGGTAAAAGACCTAGCCCTCCATAGTTTGAGAAAGACCTGGATGTTTTTCATAAAGAACACCTTCTAGGACTAGCAGGTGGCATAATGGTTACATTACCGGACCACCATGTAGTCGACTGTGGTTCGAGTCCCGGGCCCAGCCATTTAAAATTCATGCCGGATACGTGCATGCATGCCCAAAATCCCAAGAGGAAAATGGAGGAGAAGGGATTGCAATGTGTCCATTTCCCCTGGAGGGGATGATTTGTCACTTTCTGTCTCTCTGTCTCTGTCTCTCCAGTGAGTGCACGCTCCCTATAGCAAACATCTCTCTAAAAACAAAACAGAACAAAAAAACGCAAACACCCTTCCATGTTATTTATTGCAAAAGGACGTTTGCTGTGGATTTCCTGAAACTATCGAGTGGCCAGAAACCTCATGACGCATTTTTCTATGTCTTTCTCTGCAAAAATGCATCGTGGCTTCTCTGACGACCCCATAGACGTGATGGGGAAAAACTGGCGTTCAGGAGAAGCAGAAAGTGTTCATTTCAGAGCCTGGGCTTCTTGGCTTGGTTTTGATTAAAACTGTCTCCCGAGTACCTGGATGTAATCGTTACAGATTGGATCCTTCTACCAACACCATGCATTGTACTTCCACAAATATATACACTGATTGCATTTTTAAAAGAATTATTAATTTAATTTATTATTATTATTATTATTTTAACTTTTGCTATAGGGCATATGCATTCACCAGAGAAAGAGAGAGAGAGTAAGCAGCCAGGTCCGGGACTCGGATTGCAGTCAGCCATGTGGGAGGGCAGCGCCCTAACCACCATTCCACCTGCTGGTCCCAACAATTATTATCCCTTAATTTAAAAAAAATAGAGGGGGAATAAGACTCTCTTTTTTTTTTTTTCTTTTTTTGAGAGGTTTTCACTATAGGGCGCGTGCACTCGCCAGACAGATAGAGACAGACAGAGAGACAGAAAGCGAGAAATCACTCCCCAGGGGGGATGGTCATGCTGCAATCCCTTCTCCTCCATTCTCCTCTCGGGATCTTGGGCACGCACGTACACGCACCTGGCATGAGTTTTAAGCCACCGGGTCCGGGACGCGACCTGCGGTCGACTGTGTGGGAGCCCAGCAACATAGCCATTACGCTAACTGCTGGTCCCCAATGAGACTCTCTTGTACATCAGAAAGACGGAGTTCCTTTGGTGTCTCAGGCATGGCGGGTGTGTTTTTCTAGAAATTCTGTGCTGAGTTGCGCTAGGAGTCCCTGTTATCTCGTTTTCCTCTCACCTCTAGGGCGTGGGGGAGAATGAGGTCCCATGAACTGTGGCAGCGCCTGGCTCCGTCCCCATCTGATAATTCCAAGGTATGGCAGTGAAAGCACCTTCTGCAGAGGGCACCTCGACCTCGCCGGGAATGCACCAGCAGGTGTGAATGAAGGTGTTATCTCTGCGGCAGTGGGTACAGACAGTTCTAACCGCTGTCCTCACTTCACCCAAATGCACCCGCCACCTTCAGGGACGCAGCTGCAACCTCGTGGACTCGGGGATCCGGTGTGTATTCGTTCACACGTGGCTCTCACTCCTCTAAGAAACAGAGCCCCATAGCATAGACATACTTTACCCTTTCTTTTATTTCTTTATTTTTGGAGAGATTTTCGCTATAGGGCGCGTGCACCGGCCAGACAGACAGAGAGAGACAGAGAGACAGAAAGCGAGAAATCACCCCCCAGGGGGGATGGTCACACCGCAATCCCTTCTCCTCCATTCTCCTCTCGGGATCTTGGGCACGCACGCACATGCGCCTGGCGTGAGTTGAAGCCACCGGGTCCAGGACTCGAACTGTGGCCGGCTGCATGGGAGTCCGGCGACATAGCCATTACGCCAACAGCTGGTCACGACATATGCTAAGCTTTCAATGACAGTTTGGGTAAAGCAGACCTCCCGTTACTTCACTTCAGAAAGCCTAAGCTTCACCAGGCTTCAGCAATTCCGTAATCCTGGGACTTCATGTGCGTTCACTGCCTGCTCGAAGCATAACACGAGATACCTACGTAGAAAGGTTATGTGAAGACTCACCCACCTCTTTTACAGACGCCAGCCAAGTATTAAATCTAAACAGTGTGGGAAAAATCAGATGATTACAGGGGCCAGCAGGGAGTGCTGCTAATTAAGACTCTGGACTCCCACATGGCCAACAGTGCTTTGAGTCAAGTAGGTTTCGGTTTCCTGCCTCTCTCGGGGTGGAAGTTGGGTATATAGTCGTTGCCATTGTTCAGGGGGGTTGCTCTACCCCAAACCCATTTAATATGGGGGTGAGCGTAGGCAAAGCCAACCATTACTCGGAGGCTAGGCTGGACTGGCGAGGTGAGGTCTAGCCCTCTCTTGGGGCCCCGCGAGAAGCACAGGCATTGGCTTAGGGACCCGGGGAACACCAGAGTGTTTTTGCAAAACAGGAACCAGGGCAAAGTCAAAGTCGGAAGCAGGTCTACGGAGGGCTTACAGGGCCAGGAGGCAAGGAGCCCCCTCAGCAGCTTGGGGGGCACGGATAAGAACCCAGTGCCCAGGACGAAGGGGCTGTTCTGAACTGAAGGCACGGAGCGGCCAACCACGGGGAGACCTGACACCGGGCAGACGGGAAACTGCTGGTAAGAGCTTTTCGTGCTATTTTTAATTCATCGGAGCTGCCCTGGCCAGACCGAGGGCAGAAACTGAAGAGATAAAAAGGAGGACCATGATTCAGGGGTTGTTCTAAATGGCCCAGAAGCACTTGGGACAGCTCATGCATGCTTTGGGGGAGAGATGTATTTTTAATTTTCTATCGTGTGTGGAGCCAACAGAAAATTAAATGAACAAGTGTAATTAAGTAAATGAATTAGTTTCATTGTAATGATGTATTTTATTTATAGGTATTTCATTTTTTTACAGAATTATTTTATGTAACTTTTTTTTTTTGGAGAGGTTTTTGCTATAGGGCGCGTGCACTAACCAACAGAGAGAGACAGAGAGACAGAGAGAGAGAAATCACCCCCCAGGGGGGATAGCCACGCCGCAATCCCTTCTCCTCCATTCTCCTCTCGGGATCTTGGGCATGCACGCACACACGCCCGGCGTGAGTTTTAAGCCACCGGGTCTGGGATGCAAACCGTGGTTGACTACATGGGAGTCCAGCGACATAGCCATTACGTTAACCGCTGGTCCCTATTGTTTGTTTTAATTTAACTAAGACAGGAAGAAAGACAGAGAGAAGATGAGAAAGCAAGCTGCCAGGTCTGAGTCTCAAACCATGGGCCAGCCTCTGCAGGGACCAAAGCAGGTCTGTGGGTTTTTTCCGTTGTCACTGTCTGCAGACTCGTGACCCTCTGGGATGACCGTGCACGGCTGTGCTCCTTGTGGCTGGAGTGTTCTCCGGAAGGGACTGCTTCTGGCTGATTTTTACGGATCAAGGCTTCGGTGACTCTGTGGACGTGGTCTTTGGACTTCTGTGTGCCAGAGCTGCAGGGTCACTTTAACAGAGGGGAGAGAACTTCTACGACCAGGTGAGGCCCCGTGTACCCTAGCTGGGGGGTTCCTCTCTCTTCCTGTTGGACTGTACATCGCATTTGAAGATATGCGTACAAGTAGCCTTAGAACTTCAACTCCGTTCATTTGGGGAAGCTATTTTAGACGCTTGTAATACAACTTCAACTTTTAACAGTACACTTTAGACCTTTTAGTTTGTTGTGTTTCTTGTTTTATTTTGTTTCGAGATAATTTAGTCACTTGACCTTAAGACCAAAGCTGTACTATATACATTCCATTTAGATGGAAACGTTTGCAATCTTTTTTATTAGAAATATATTGTTATGCTTACAACTTTTTACAGTTGTATTTTTATACTATTATTTTCTTGTTTTATTTGTATAAGTTTATGTTTACAATTACTTTAATAGCCTAGGACCAGCAGTTAGCGTAATGGCTATGTCACTGGACTCCCATGTAGTTGACCGCGGTCTGAGTCCCGGACCCGGTGGCTTAAAACTCACGCCAGGCGCGTGTGCGTGCGTGCCCAAGATCCCGAGAGGAGAAGGGAAGAGAAGGGATTGCGGCGTGGCCATCCCCCCTGGGGGGTGATTTCTTGCTTTCTATCTCTCTGTCTCTCTCTGTCTTTCTGGCGAGCACACACGCCCTAAAGCAAAAATATCTCAAAAAAAAAGAGAAAAATCCGCTTTGATTTGAAAGGCCAGCATGGACGTTAGAAGTCCCAAGCTCCTTTTAGCGCTCACTGTGTTTTGTCTCTAGTGACGGAGTCCACACGGGGACAAGGGGGGGTCTTTGTTCTGGGGGCCGTGAGGGTGCCAGTCCTGGTCATTGTCCAGTGCCCGGGCCGCCCACAGAGGCCCTGCTCTGGGCTGTTCCCAGATCTCATCCTCGAGACGCCTGCAGCCGTCAGGATTATCGTAAGTGACCACCGGGTGCCGTTGACCTGAGAGTGCAATCCAGGGTGAAGCCGTCTTGTCCAGTTGTCCTAACACGATGTTGAGTTGAGAGCTGTTTCTATCGGTTTTGATTTGACAGATCATAAACAGAGACGTGAACTTCCGTTTTAATAGACCTTGCAGGGAGTGGCTGAGGATGGCCAGGAAGCCAGAGCTCATGTTGCAGGCTTGACCAGGCAACGGCCTCCCTGCAGGTACAGAAGCCCTGGCTGCAGAAGGCGGCCTTCATCTAAATTCTCGTTTTTCTGGCTAGACCTCTGCTCTCTGATGAAGGGGAGAGTCCAGTGGGGACGAGGCCTATTGAAGAGAGACAGGAGGGCAGGAGGGCAGGGAGGGAGCAGGCAGCCGGGAGCTCTGGCCTTCACTCGTCCCACTCTGTTCCCGGAGACCCCTACCCTACTAAGTTCTGGGACAGGAGACTTCTGCCTTTCGTCCCTGAATTCAACACTCAATTTTTAATAACCACTTCCATTTATTTTTCTCTCTTTGACTTTGGGAAATGTGATATTTTGTTTGTTTGTTTGTTTTTTTGGAGAGGTTTTTGTTATAGGGCACGTGCGCTCGCCAGAAAGACAGAGACAGAGAGACAGAAAGCGAGAAATCACCCCACAAGGGGGATGGTCATGCCGCAATCCCTTCTCCTCCATTCTCCTCTCAGGACCTTGGGCACGCACACACACGCACCCGGCATGAGTTTTAAGACACCGGGTCCGGGACTCGAACCACGGTCGACTACATGGGAGTCCAGTGACATAGCCATTATGCTGCCGGTCCCGGGCAACGTGATGTGTTTTGAGAGGAGCTCTTGAGCTGGTAAGAAAAGAATCACCTCCATTTATACTGATTCGAATGGTTTGTTTTTGGCACCCTTCTCTCTTAGCAGACCCTAGGAGCTGACGAACATGCACAAACAGTAACAGACTCTGTTTCACGACTTTTTCAATGTTGGACTGAACCTTTTTATTTTTTTTTTTTTTTTTTTTTTTTTTTTATAAAATACAACGACTAATAACAGGACTCATTACAGCGTGTTCACTCAGGAGTAACTAGAAGGAGGACTCCGGGAGAACCAGGCAGCAGTGCTCCCAGGAGTCCGGCCCTAACCCTGGATGTATCTATGAACTTCATTGTTATGTTTTAATGTACGTGCCCTGCATTGGCTACTTAGCTTGCAATTGGGTCACATTTTTTTACGGTTAATTTTGGCTTAACGATTTAGAAAATAATCATTTTTGGAGAGGTTTTTGCTATAGGGCACGTGCGCTCGCTAGACAGACAGAGAGACGGAAAGCGAGAAATCACCGCCAGGGGGGATGGCCACACCTCAGTCCCTTCTCCTCCATTCTGCTCTCGGGATCTTGGGCACACACGCACATGCACCCGGTGTGAGTTTAAGCCACTGGGTCCGGGACTCGAACTATGGTCAACTACATGGGAGTCCAGCAACATAAGCCATTATGCCAACTGCTGGCCCTAGACTCTCCTAGTTTTGAAGGAGCAGTGAGTGTCTTGCACCCGGCGGTCAATGCTCCTGACAGGTATCCCTGGGGCCCTGGATTTCACGTCAGGGGCACGGCACGTCTCCTGGACAACCTGGGGTCTTTGGTGACTGGTCAGGCAAGGCCATCCTTGGGTGCCTCACTCAGGGACCAGGGGGTACCAGCTCGCTGGGGCCTCAAGTGTTGAATCGGGAAAGAAATAAATGGACATTCACTCCTGTCCAAATGACAGGCGTCTTGGTTAGAGGGCCACTGTGGGAGGGCTCATGTCTCCCAAAGACCCTGCACCCCAAGAGCAGGGAGAAGGGGCTGAGAAAGGCAAGAAGCAGGACCCTGGTGAAAAGCAGTGGCGGAGGGAGAACGAGTAGGTGAGGAGGGAGAGAGGTGACCTTCGCACCCACACCTGTACAGAAGCCAGACTAAGCCGGGCTAAGCCTGTCTACATTCTATAGGGCAGGGGCTCTGGTCTCCTTAAACACAGTGGGACTTTAACTACCTGCTGAAACACCTGGAATTTGAACTATTTCTGATTACCCTTTGCTTTTAATGACCCGGGGAGGGGACAGGGCTGTCAACGGGTGGTGCAGGGCAAAATGGAGCCACAGATGACTGAGCCAATATGCAGTGCATTCTGGATGGGAAATCTCATTTTGTTTGCTGTAATGATGGATAGTGAATGCATATAAATAAATAAATTGAAATAAAATTAAAATTCAAAAGAGACCTCAGAAATAAATGCTAAAAAAAAAAAAAAAAGCCCTGGGACCAGCAGTTGACGTAATGGCTATGTCGCTGGACAAGGTTCAAGTCTCGGACCTGGTTGCTTAAACTCACACTGGGCGCATGTGCGTGCATGCCCAAGATCCCAAGAGGAGGATGAAGGAGAAGGGATTGTGGTGTGGCCATCTCCCCAGGGGGTGATTTCTCACTTTCTATCTCTCTGTCTTGCTGGAGAGTGCAGGCACCCTATAGCAAAAATCTCTCAAGAAAAGTGGCTGGCCGGTCTAAATGGGTCTTTTGTCACTTGGTAAGGACAAGGTAAATGGGGAACCTGGAACACATTGGCTGCAGGGTAGGTGGTAGTCGTGGGATTTTCTGCAGAGAATCTCCAATGGGAGTGCCTCTTCAAACAGGTTTTTATTAACAACCCACGCTTATCTTTTCTCCCCGACCCTGGGAAATCTGATATCTCCCCAGGAGAGCTATTAAGCTTGTTAACAGAATTAGAGCTATTTATATTGATCAAAATCTTCCATTTCTAGCAACCGTAACTTTTAGTCTATATCGGTAGCTTATGGGCATGTACCAACACAGACTTCTTTAACATATTACCCAACGCAGAGACCAACCCACTCTCTTTCATCCCTATGAACTCGAAAAGACTGATGACAGGTGGTGGCCACAGATGGCGTAATGTCTATGTCCCTGGACTCCCAGGGAGTCCACCTCGGGTTGAATCCCGGACCCGGCGACTTGAAACTCACACTGGGTGCATGTGCGTGCCCCAAATCCCAAGAGGAGGGAGGAGAAGGGATTGCAGTGTGGCCATTCCCCCTGGGGAGGGGTGCCTCTCTGTCTCTCTGTCTCTCTCTGTCTCACTGGCGAGTGCACATACCCTATAGCAAAAAACTCTCCAAAAAAAAAAAAAGACTATTAATAGGCATAATCAAGACATGTTAAGTTACTACTCAGAGCAGTTAGAAATTCTCTGGAAGAACTAGGCAACAATGCTCTCCAGGGGTCCACGTTTAAGGGAGGATTTCTATCCTTTTCATATGCAAATTCTGGCTATTTCTTTGCCTTTAGTTTGGCTTACAAAGCCAATCAGCTTCTCTAAGGACAATGGAAACATCTATCCAGTTACAGGATCAGATTGTCAGTCTTAACGCCTGCAGTTTAAATAATTAGATTGTCGGTCAGAAAACCAATCCTTTTTCTCTAGACCCAGCGAAATGGTTAGACTATCAGTCAAAAAACCAACACGTTTCTTCATAGAAAGTGGGCCAGCAGGTGGCGTAATGGCTATGTTGCTGGACTCCCACGTAGTTGACCGTGGTTCGAGTCCCGAATCCGGTGGCTTAAACTCACTCCGGGCGCATGTGCGTGCGTGCCCAAGATCCCGAGAGAAGAACGGAGGAGAAGGGATTGTGGCGTAGCCATCCCCCCTGGGGGGTGATTTCTTACTTTCTGTCTTTCTCTCTTTCTGATGACATATAGCAAAAACCTCTCCCCCCCAAAAAAAAAACCCAAAAATATAGGATCCTAGCTCTGTGCCCCTCCGAGCCAAACCCAGTTCCACCTCTGTAAGCTCCTTGCCAGACAGATCGCTGGCCTCTCTACAATGTGGTTTGGGAACTAAAGGAGGGCAGCCAAAGGGAGAGTGAGAGGCCTTGTAATCTTTTGCAGTGTTTCCTGCCTTGCAAAATCCATCACCCCAGACCCAGGGGGCCTCTCCTCCTCCAACCCAGAACCTATCCACCCGCCGACCCCTCCCCTGCTCGGGTCCCAGCTGTTTGCAGTCCCGGCTCCTCTGGGTCTGTAGGTGTCATAAACTCGGCAGTCAGCGTTTGCAACATTCTGGCAACATTGCTGCTTCCCTAACTGGGGAGCCAACTCTGCTGGCGTTTGAGCCACGGGGTGGGTGGAGGAGACCTGAACCAGCGGAGAATGATCTTATCGCAGGTCCTCCTTCACCACCGGGGCCCTGACACGCCGTGACAACCAACTCCAAGCAGACTGAAGGGAAAGACAGATCAACTCCCTGGCGGAGGTGTCTGGGGCAAGGTAAGGTTCCCGGAGACGTGGGTCCCAGGGACGCCTGTCGCGTTGGGATGGACGGGGAGACTGATCACCTCCCGCGGTCTCTGAGTAGAGACCGTCAGTCAGGAACGTCCCCGCGGGGGTAGAATGTTGTGATAAGCTCCGGGGTGTCTGTCGGTGCGAGCGTGAGTGTGCATACTAGTGTGCGTGCCCTGTGGTGCTCAGACTGTGACGTCTGAGTGGGTCATCACCCGTGTTTTCATGGTGACCTCGTATGGCTCAGGGCCATGGTCACCTGGTCAGGGTCAGGGACCCGTATGAACTGCCAAAGCCAACAGATGCCTGCAGTTCAGCTCGTCTGGGTCAGGGATTAACCACCTGTTCACCTCGCCTGGGTCAGGGGTTCGTAGCGATTACCAAAGCCGACAGGCACCTACACTTCTCAAGAGGGCCTCGGCAGGCCGACGTCTGCGTGGTCGGCTCTTTGAGGGGACACCCTCCCTGTCTCTCCCTTGAGTCACCGTGGCAGGGAGGAAAACGCTGGTAGGGGTAGATGTTCGGTGTGTCTAAAAGAACTCTGTGCCTGAACTCTCGGGCTGGCCCTCCTCAAGGCCATCCACGATTTGTGTCTGTCCCCCACAAAGACGGAAATTAATGCCTCATCTGTCTTGTCTGACAAGCCCTCTTCTGTCATCCAAGGGGGACTCTCCTTCTTCCAGGAGGATTTGCTCCTCGGTGAGTGGAGAGTTGGAGCCTCTCTTTCTGTGTCATTTCTTCTACTGCGTGCCAACCGTCCCCCAAAGATGGACATTGATGCCTCATCTGTCAACCCTTGTCTGACAAGCCCTCTTCTGTTATCCAAGGGGGACTCACCTGGTTTCAGGAGGATTTGCTCCTCGGTGAATGGAGAGTGAGGAGCCTCTCCTTCTGTGTCATCTCTTCTGTTGGGTGCCAACCGCTCCTCGGGGCCTCCTCATGGATCCGGCGTGGCAAAGCAGAGAGGGTTTTCAGCCTGAGGTTCTTTGAACCTTCCCCACAGTGTAGATGTCCTTGGAGGGTCAGCAGTTCCCCCTTCTCTCTCTCTGCTGGGCCCCACTCATGCCCACTTGCTAGACGCCTAGCCCCGCTGGAGGGATTAGTGCTCTTAATACCAACATCGGTCTAGCCGCCCTGGGGTCCACTGTGATCCAGACAGGCTGCAGCGTGGGGCCTGGAGGTGCATCTTTGGCAGGATGGAGAGAGGCGGTTCGGGGACCTTCTCTCCAAGGAGGAGCAGGGACAGCAGAAGTGTTTGGGCTGTAAGCGCTCAAACAGGTGACAGTGTGGGCAACCAAGCATCAAAGCCCACCGTGCTGGGCTGTATGATTAAAAATTCCAAGGGGGGGAAATAGAAAAGGAATTTCTCTGGAGAGGAGGGTGTGAACAGAACCTCAGGGAATTGGGCTCTTACGATCTTCGCACGGTACGGCGCTACTTCGCGAAGAGCGTGTGCTCTGATGAGAAATAGCCTCTGACGATTGACTCGTGTAACTGAGTCAAAATGGCCATGTTCCATGGGGAACCTGATTTTCTGAACTGCTAAGCCAGGCACTAAGCAGAGCCAGGATTAACCCAACGCAGGGAGACGTTTGACAGAATTGCTAAGTGTCTTTTTTTGAGTTTTTTTTTGCTATAGGGCGCGTGCGCTCGCCAGACAGACAGAGAGACAGAAAGTGAGAAATCACCCCCCAGGGGGGATGACCACGCCACAATCCCTTCTCCTCCATCCTCCTCTCAGGATCTTGGGCACGCACGCACATGCACCTGGCTCAAAGCTCAAGCCACCGGGTCAGGGACTCAAACCGCGATCGACTACGTGGGATTCCAGCAACATAGCCTTGACTCCAACTGCTGGTCCCTGTCTGGTGGTATAGAAATAAAAACGTGAAGAATTTGCCTTGCTCCAACTGCCGATTGCATTTACTGCAGCTTTCCACTCCGCTGATAAAAATCGTAGCACCCTCCACACCCCCGTGAGCACAGAGGGTTCTCAAGGCTCTTTTGATTCAAATATCTGCATAGATTCAATCCGGGTCTCAAGAGAAGTCCCTCATGAATTTAAAGCAAGAAGTCAAATAGCTGCAGGCTTTGAGTCTGTACTCTCTTGGTGCTCGACCCTCAATAAAAACATTGATGAGGGAGGGGGGTCAGCAGGTAGTGTGGTGGTTAAAGGTGCTGGACTCCCACATGGCTGACCACGGTTCAAGTCCCGGACCTGGAGGTTTGCTTTCTCACTTTCCATCTCTCTCTCTCTGTGTCTGTGTCTGGTCAAATTAAACAATAGTAATAGCAGATGGAGGTAAATAAATAAATAATTCTTTTTTTTTTTTTTTTGGAGAGATTTTCGCTATAGGGCATGTGCGCTCGCCAGACAGACCGAGAGAGGCATAGAGACAGAAAGCAAGAAATCACCCCATAAATAATTCTTTAAAACATATGCAAACACGGGGACCAGCAGTTAGCGTAATGGCTATGCCGTTGAACTCCCACGTAGTCGACCGCAGTTCATGTCCCGGACCCGGTGGCTTAAACTCACGCCGGGCGTGTGTGCGTGTGTGCCCAAGATCCCGAGAGGAGAATGGAGGAGAAGGGATTGTGGTGTGGCCATCCCCCCTAGGGGGGGATTTCTCGCTTTCTGTCTCTCTGTCTCTCTCTGTCTTTCTGGCGAGCGCACACGCCCTCCAGTAAAAACCTCTCCAAAACTAAAAAAGGGGCGGGGAGGCTGATATGGAAACTGCTTGGCTGTGTAATTAGACAGGACTTCGTTGTTCAGAACGCTGCTTATAAGAGAGGATCCTAGCTCTGTGCCCCTCCGAGCCCAACCCTGTTCTGTTTCTGCAAGCTCCTTGCAAGACGGATTGCTGGTCTCCGTACGATGTGGTTTTGGAACCAAAGGAGGCCCCAAAAGGAAGAGAGTGAGATGCTGAGCAATGTCAAGCAGCCTTCTCTCCCTTGCACTATCCATGGCCCCAGACCCATGGGCCTCTCCTCCACCAACTCAGCATCTGTGTCACCTCCTACCCTCCCCGACTCGGGTCCAGATGTTCGGGGTCTGAACCCCTCTGAGTCTGCCAGCGTCAGCAACTTGAGTTTGACGCTCGGAGTGGCGCGCGGTTTCTCGGCGGTCTGTTTGTGCATCACTTCTGCAACAGAACCAGGACAAGAGGGGCCCCATGGGAGCCAACTGCCCTTCCCAAGACAGAAGGGGCATGCCTCGAGCCCACAGACTGGGACAGAAACAAATCAACTGTGAGCTCAGAGGTACATGCAGAGAGGTCCCCCTCCCAGAGGAGTCCTGTCGGCGATGGAAAGGCAGGGAGGACCCACTCAGCTCCCATAGTGTGAAGACTGGGATTGCAGAAACTGACTCACACACACACACACACACACACAGTCTCTCCAGAGTTTGTCACAGGGCCATCCTAGCTCTGGGAGCATCCTCGACTGGCGGCCCCCTGATGGCCCCTGGGTGGGGATCATGCAGCGACCTCAAGCCGGAACTGGTGGTTGCCATGGGAACCCACAGGAGGCAATTGGGGGGGCTCCCCTTCCACCCAAACTGGGTGAGCCTCACCGGGTTCCTGAGTCCCGGGACTTGACCTTACCCGGCGGTTTCACCCGGTGAGCTGCCCATCTCTCTACGGAGTCCAGCGGGCATGGGTTGCCTTCGGGGTGTCAGGGCTCCTAGGAAGGGGGACACA